ATATGCAAGCGTTGAACCGTTGCGCTGATGTCCAAAGGAAGGCGGCATGAAATGAATGCATTTGACATCATTCACACTTTCACTGGCGCCTGCGTTTACGACCCCGCGATGCACTTGCTGACCATATGCAAGCGTTGAACCGTTGCGCTGATGTCCAAAGGAAGGCGGCAGACGAAGGTAACAGTCTTTTTCCGAAAATAAACCATGTTTGTGGAGGGTGTAATCAAATGTGACAGTGTTCTGGGGTAGATTTCGCCAGAACGAAATTTGCGCTTCAAGGAAATTTTTCGCGCATCCCATCAGTTTCGTTGTTGCAAGGTTTGGCTGTATACACCTTTAGATAAACAGCTTGCGGCAATCAGTCACTTCATTTTCTCTCAACAAAAATTAATCTTCGGTGTCTATAACGCTAGTATTAACCTCCACAAAAGCCAAAGTCATAATGAGCGTCTCTAAAACCACTGTTAAAAATTACTACATTAAGGGCAGAATTACACCAGAAGCGCTAAGAATTCTAGCTAACTTTTGCAACGGGCGGGTTGTTCATATTATAGGGACGCCCGCACTCCTTCGTTACCGGGAACGAAATTGCGCACGACGTGGCGCGAGAATTGGCCACCCAAACAGGCGCAGCACGGAGCGCAGGGATGGACAGAGACTGCATGGTTAGTTATGAGGACATTACAAAACATTACAGACAAGGAAGGGCCCACTTCCCAATGCTACACACTTCACTAGACAAGCAGCAGGCAATGGGTATGGTGCCTCTTACAGATGAACACGTTCCTGTATCCGGTCCCTTTCTATTACCCGCACGTTTACTCAGACATGTGTAGGCTTTGTCAGCAAAGGGCAGACCTTAATATATACTGTGGGCTTGCGACAGAGCCGAAGGGCGAAGTTGAGAATACTATAATAGAGAACAGTGGGAGCAGTGCTAACGTCCGGACCCTGAAGTGCGACTACAAGTGCTTCGGCAAGCTGAGGATGCCACAAGAGCGAAAGGACTCATGGCTGCCACTTGGGGACAGCAGCCCATGCTTCCAAACCTTGCCATTTTCAATAAATTTATTTCCTCCTCCTCGCATTCCATCCATACTGCACGAGCGTGAGGGATCATTTCATGTTCCCCTTGACTGAAGTCGTTAAAATGCAGTGCAGTCTTCATTGCATGGCCGTGCAGTGGCCATTTATACACGCGATAATGTATCGTGGCTCTCTGATTTGCTCAGAACAATGTTTGGCAACATTCCCTTAGACGCTCATTTTGAGGCAAAAGAAATTTAGGAAGAGAAAGTTGGACTTTGGTTATGATTTTTTTGTTTGCACCATAGGTACAGAAATTGCATGCACACTTGAAGGCCCATACCTATTTCATAACATCTCAACTTTCTGTTTTTCTTCAGTGTCCGTTTAATACATTGTGATGTCAAGAAAAATATCAGGTGTTGCACCAAGGGATTTAAACAAACACTTAGCATGGCAATGTAAGATCTGTTTTTGAGCTTGTCATGATAACTGCAATGTACTTATGATTTCAAGCAAAATAAAATTTATTCCATACTCACTTGGAAAAAAATAAATTCATGGGTGAAATTTATACTCATCTGAATTACACTTCTATTATCGCTTTCCTCCATGAGTTCAAGCTGAAGAGTGGAGTTAATAAAGCATCTGCCTTTTTTCTTGGTTCATCGTTTTTCATTTTATGATGCCATCTTTTTCAACCAGGCTTCGTGCATAAGACAATGGTTGCTTTGTGTCTGCCTGGGTATAATATTTCTACAAGCAGCTGTGGGAAAGATTTCACATAAGCTCATACAGAGCAGACGAGAAAATTATAAAAAAAATTTTGCAGAACACTAATTACTTTAAAAATAATTCATCTTCATTAAAACCTTAATTGAATGGGCTGGCACAATTGTGTCTTTGTGTGCATAGAATGCTGTGTTGTTCTGCTGGCATTGGCAAAAGACATTGAATTTAAGCTCAGAAAGGAGGAAGCAATCTGCTGTGTGGAAGACATATTCTTGTTTTGCTTAAAAGTTGCACTCACTTAGTTTAACAAGATTTTGGCACGTGCTCATTAATATTCTTCAAAATGGCGTGGTAAGCTTGCAAGATGTTTTTCTCTTAAACTTTTTTAACTGCTTTAAGGCCAAGGCCTTTTGGACATTACTAAGATGCGGCAAGCATTAGTTTTACGCTGAGGTCTGCAACTTGTTTTTTCTGTTCGGCAAGCAAATGTCTCGCTTTCTCGTTACCACTTTCAGTATAACATTCATATCTTCCTGTTCTCTTTTTAAACTTTGGTTCACAGGGATTGCTGGGAAGCACGCACACTGTGTTGAAACTTTTCCTATTGGTCGCTGCATGAGCATTTTAAATTAAACTAAAGGATTTTCATGGATGGGCACATAACCAGGCCAGGACATAAACGAAAGACTAATTTTGGCATATGCACTTGTAGACTTTTCCATAATATTGTCTGGCTACAATTTTCAGGGTGCTAGCTATTTTATGAGTACATTGAAATCCCGTTAATACGTACCTGCCGGAAATGGCGGCATAACTACGCACTATACGTACTACGCATTAACCACCAGCTACAAATTTTTGCTACGCATTAACCACCAGCTACAAATTTGCATCCTCTGACATGCGCCATCGCGCCAACAAAAGTAGAATTGCAGTGCCTAAAGTGCCCACCGCAAAGCGCACCGGAAATATTGCCTAAAGTGCCCACCGCAAAGCCATTTCTTTCTTTTTGCCAAGGTACAGAAAAGTTTGTGACTCCCGAAGATCCGCCCATAACACGCGATCTAGACACCGATGAGCATTTCGAAACCACCGTGGGATCCGGGATATGCAGCGGGGTACAGCGACAGAACCATGGAGGAAGGAAACAACTTTCCTTCCTGTGTTGAGAGAACGGACACAATCGGCTGCTTGTGATACAGTTGTTCCGCGGTCTGCTTCTAAGCAAAAACTGACGCAGTTTTCTTTTTTTTTAAACGCTGTACAGTCGCAGAGAGCCAAATCGTTTACTGCATGTCTCGATGCATGCAGCGCTTCGCTCACTCTGCACACACCGTGACTGCCGATCCGCTTGCTGCACAGATTTGGCGAGTAGCTTGTTGGGTTAATGCGGCGCCGAAGAGCTTTCCACAAGCAACATGTTTTTTGTGATGCTCAGCAGTCCTGGCAGCGGACAGAGGTGCGTTTCGGCTGTTGCTAAATAAAAGTGTGCAGCATTGTGCACGGTGCGCGTGTTGGTATAATATAGCAAGGTTTCTCGGTGCCCGCGTTTCACAACACTAAACTCAGTGACAGCGAGCTGCTTGCATTTCTGTAAAGCGATGCGCGCTTGAACACGGTCTTGCAAAACGAAGTGGTAGCGATTGGCACACCAGCACGTTCAGGTAGCCGCCCACTAAAAGCGTGCAGTATGCCTAAGGTGACGCGGTTATCTCCTCGCGTGCCTGAGAAGATAACCGCGGATGCTTACTGTGATAAGGCTTTTCGCCGGCGATAAGTTATACCGGCGCATTTTTTGGTGGTCGCCACCTCGCCTTCGTTTTTTTACCCGATGATTACTCGCAGCGCCATCTCTGCAATCGCACGGAACTCATAATAACTTATTGGCTGATCTCCACTCTTATCATCATGACGGAAAACCGTTCACGGCACATTGTGGCATCTGCAAGTTCAGTGGAGCAGTAAAATGTTGTCGAGCAAAATGTTATCGCATTACCAGTTGGTACGCACTAATCGGAAGGCATAGGCCGAACACTATGGCCTAAGCGGTCCGCAAATGCATTAGTCTCTATGAGACTCGGTCGGGGATTCGTCACAACTACGTTTTAACCGTTAGTGCGCTTCAAGTGGGTATGCACTAACGAGGTTTGACTGTATCTGCATTTTATGTAGTGGTGCAGCACGGATATTGTGATGTAAATGTACTGGCTACCTCAGCGTGGGGTCTGTCCAAGCTGAAGGTATAGGTATATTTATTTTCTGACCACAGTACGCCAGATTTCTTCATGAGTTGATTACGAGAACACTTGCATACTATTTTTCATAGTGCATGTAAAACAACTCCAGGTTGCCTAAACTAATTTTAGAGAATTTCCCAATCATGTGTTTTTGGACTATGTCACACCATATCATTCATTCAGCTCTACTTTTTAAATAAGGCCAACAACTGATTGACTAGGCTGGAGCTTATGCCTCACATGTGCCACACAGGTTGGGCAGATTTCTTCTCTGGAAAATGTTTTTACTTCAAGTTTGCCTTATGAATTGTATTAATCCTTTAAGACGCTATGTACACAATTGTGTGCATTACTCGTCCTCACTACTTGCATCAAGTAGATGCTAGGAAAGAGCAAGATATATTACACTTTGGATGAATTGAACCTCGTGCATAACAAACTATTCTTTCTCTAACCTCATCTTGCAGTGTACTGATACATATGATCACTTTTCTGAAGGCACTGCCACGCTCGACGAGTTGTGTGACGTGATGCTTCCTGTGAGCAACGGGAAAAGAAGAATTTTTCTGTGCTCAAAACGAACTTAGCAGAAAAAAATTTGTACTAAATTCCTTGCCAGAGAGCTTATTTTATTTATACAAAGAGTAAGCATCTTTAACATTAGGGTAAAAAGATATTCAATTAAAGGTTAATTAGAATGAGTTGCTATAACACCCCTAAATTCGAGAATGATCTTATTATACTTGTCGCAATAGCATTTTGAATGTCTTGCAGCAACGTAGTGATTTGACACATCTACAAACAGTTTTTAATAGGTGGCATCTGAAAGGGTTACGGGCAAGCTTGCTGTATAAATGGTAATTCGGTACTGTAAGGAGAACCACCACACTCCCGTTCAACTTATTCATGCTGACATGCATTAGATAGATACTGATGTTACAATTTTCATACAAGCAAGAATTCTCAAAAATTCATTGTGTAAGATCACAGGATGTCTTTGTTTAGGTGGCATAAGCATGGACCCGCTGGAGTTGATGAAACAAATGAGGGATGATGGACTCCAAATGAAGGCCAGTGCCTTGGGACATGGCTTCAGTGTGAGCCAAGCGAATCAGGTGTGTAAAAGTTCTCCAATATATGAAATTTGGTCATTTTGGAAACGTTTCATCATTTGTATAGCTTGTTTCTTCAGATGTTCTCGTAAGTTTAGCAGCTTCATCTTTTTTGAGGCAAAGATGGTGCTGAGGACAGAACTCCTTTTACTTTATAATTAGGTCACCTGTTGGCATACCTAAACTCGGTTGAGGAATTAACTAATTGTTGCTACTTAAATTTGGGAAGTGACCATTATGACTTGTAAAGCTGATATGTCTTTTAGAGAGAGACTGTGTTACAAGATTTCAATCTTCAATACTGCTTTTCTCTGTATAAAGGGACAAGCCAGCACGATGTTGTAGAACATTCATCTTCATTATAAAAACAAAACCATGTAGTATGTATGAAATGAAGAATTCTAATTATGGGTAAGGAAGCTTATAAAAATGAAAAAAGTACCCTTATACAATTGCCAGTTGATCGCATCATTTAGAGACAGGTACCATAGTCTCTATCGAAGCAAGTAGAGAGTATAGGACCTATTTTTTTACTATTTATTTTTATGTAACAGTAACCACTTGTTTTCCTGTGTGTCTGTACAAACAAGAAGCTTTTCCCTGCTGCATTTTGCATAAGTAGCCCTTTGTTTTCTTTTCCCGTTTCACACGGCAGCTGCTTGTACCAAGTGACGACGAAGATCGCGGTGACCCTGAGGTGGCATTCTTGAAGTCTCTCAGCATGAAGCAGAAGAGAAAACTCCTGCTGTAAGACCCATTGTGATATTCATATTATTTTGTCTTTCTCAACATCCATGATTTGCTGAAAACTGGTTTGAGACCGTGTTATTACAGCACCGGGAGGGGAGGTAGAAGCCCTCACTCTTGTAGTATTCTCTAGTTTGTGTATGGAAACAGTGTACAGTCATAGGCGTATCAATCGGGGGCAAGGGGGGCGCGAGCCCCCTTGTGAGAAAAGTTGGGGGGGTTCAGTCCCCCACTTTCGACGGTCTTCACTGCCGGTTGCTCACTGGGGAAAACAGCACGTAAGGCGATCTTTTCCCTCACCACACTTGTCACTCAAATATATTGTTGTGAGCAAATGAAAATGTTGCCAGAAAATGTTTTAATATAGTGCAATTTATCCAATTTTTCTGCTGTGACGATTTTTCTAGAAGGCCCTTTGCGATGCGGGCCGCCTATGCGATGTTTTCGGGTCTTGTGCTGTAGCATTGCAAAGCAGGCTACAGTACAAGGCACAAAATCGTCGTGTGCTGTAGCCTGCTTTGTTATGAATGGGAACGAGAAATCGTTCTATGGACCAATCGGATCATTTGCTGCTTCAGAGAAAGTGTTTTTTTTTTTTTTTTCGTCAAAAATGAATAACATCATCACTGCTCAGTAGAAGCTGCTGTGAGCCGATGATTGTGACAAATTTTTTTAAATGTTTTAGCTTTGCCATACTGGAAGCGCCCGAAAAAAGATATCAGAGCTTCAGGCTCTGATAAACGTGATACGCCTCGCTTATGGTTACGAGGAGCGTTGACAGTAGTTTGCAAAGTGGGGATGAATAAAGCAGTGGACTCGAGTACATTGAGAAGCATAGGCGTATCAGAAGAAGGTGGTGGTGGGGCAAGGGGGGCACGCGCTTTTCACTGAGAGAAGTTGGAGGGCTGAACTTCCCCACTTTTGACAGTGGTCACTCTTGGCTGTATGCTGAGGAAACCAACAAGTAAGACGTAGTTTTTCATCACAACCGTAATCCCTCAATTATGTTCTTATGGGAGAATGAAATTGTTACGGGGCTCTGTTACAACATAGTGAAATTTTGCCAACATTGCTGTTGTGATGATTTTTCTTACAAGTTCGTATAGGCAATATATATATATATATATTCCAGCTGACGAGTGTAGTGGGTTTGCCCCCCCCCCCCCCCAATTCGCAAAAGAGTTGGTACGCCACTGTGTACAGTCAGTCAGTCGACATCAACGCAGATATTAGAGGTAGAGATTGAATGAGTCCAGAATGTTACTGCTGTAGGATCCTATCAAATGGAGCCGGAAGGAGCTGTAAAAATATGCTCTGGTGAACAGGAGCTATGTTTAATGAGGAAGATTTATAGCAGCGCAAGTACTCGAGTGCACAACATTGCGGCATTTACACGACTGAGATAGCAACCTGGGGAAGCCATGCTTTATCACTTTCTGCTACCTTCCTCCAGTCAGGGGCCCAGACGAAGATGGTAATACGCTCTTGTATGTATTCTAAGCTTCCTTCATGTGCTGTGAGGCATAGTGTCGATATTGCATTGCATTGTTGACCTTAACCGGTCTTGTTTTTGTATTATTTCCCTACGATTTGCTGAATGGCTATACAAATAGATTCTAAACTCCTAATGACCAAATTAGGAATGTGCTTGGGAATATAAATAGGTGGTAGTTGTGATTAATAACCAGCGTGACAGCCATGCCTACATACTTGTGTACTTCACGTGCTTCTTTTTCTTATTGCGAGGATTGGAAAATGACAGGCAGAAATTGTGCAAAAACTTCGCTAACATGGCCTTCATCAACTTGGTTTAACCAAAAGGTGGGAATAAGTGCCGATAACTCCCTACCCTCCTTACTTTTCATTCTACGCATCCAGCTCTCTCAACATTGGGATGAAGTGGGTTTACATGTGGCATCATAAGAGAGGCAGAAAGATCCAAAAAGAATGAAACACAGACGAGAGCACACCTCCTTGACATGTGCCTGCCGGGAAGGCAGTTTAACTTAGCAGTAAACTGTAGTATGCATAACCCGTCAAATATTACAAGGTCGTTACTGTTTTACAAAATTGCAGAAATATATTCCAGCCAAAACACACAACCATGAAATAGCGCACAGTGCTGATTCGAGGAAAATTTTGAAATCCTGACTGGGAAACAGGCTGCTGCCTGGTCACAAAGCATACAAGTCATACGGCTTCCTGTTAACCCATTTGAATGCACCAATCTGATACACTATGTGAAACCAGCACCACTCTGTTGAAACACGGCACCTGCAGCTACACAAATTTTATTGCCCTCATAACCGTGTACAGCACGTGGCCTAATATAAGCTCACGACATCACTGTCTCGGGAGAGCCATTGTACTATAAACACGTATTTTTCATGAGAGCACCTGTGTGATGAAGCATCTTCATTGCTCATACTGCTTTTGACTACACATGGGTGCAGCAGCTATCTTGTTGGGCCTATGCAGCAACGGCGAGCTGCTTGCTTTCGTTCCTCGAAGTGACCCAACTCAAAGACGTGGTACAGAAGGAAAAGTCAGCATGTTTTGATTATGACCCATTGAAAAAATACAGGGCTTCACAACAGTGCTGTGCTACGCACACTGGGGAGCAGGCACTTGAAGATGCTTATTGTGATTTGCCAATAGGTGGTACTAGGGTGCTCGTTGGTGGCCACCGTCACGCTTCCATCCATTTCTATATATGTATCTGTGTAGGCATCACCACTGTTGTGCTGACAGTCAGTGTGGGCACTTGCTCTTTCTTCTCGCTGGCCTTGTCTGAGGTGCAGTCTCTCGCTAATTGCACAGGAAACTAAACAAGATGGCAAAGAAACAAGACGCAAAAGCTGAGAAGAAGAAACGTAGCAAGGACAAGAAGAAGTCCAAGAAAAGAAAGCACAAGCATGGTGGCAAAAAGGGAAGTTCCAGTAGTGAGAGCTCCGACTCTGGTGAGTAGCTTGTGCTTCCTCCTTCTTCCCTTAAAGGTGCAGGAGAATCGGCACCCTCGAAAGTACGCCACAACTTAGGTTACAGAGGTTGTTGTGGTGCGAACAATCAGCAGCTCACTCTTTAGACAATTGGCACCTCAGAGCAGTGTGCACAACTCTTAAAGATGTGTCCAGCATGCCAAGATCTTTTGGAAATTTTCTGAGAGTGTTTGCTGACAGGACTGGATGTGAAACTTTGTGGATCTTGTTCCTTGCGCAAGGTAACCCCTAGCCTTGAATTTTTTTCACCATTGCTTGGACACTGCCTTGTGTATGTGCATTTGCATGTATACTGGAGGCCCAAATTTCAATATATGTCTGGGTGGCTGTTGTATTAGCTGTTGTATTGTGCTGTTGAGGTTGAGGATAAAGCGTTTAGTATTTATGTATTGTTTGGTCAGCCCTCAATCTCTCTCCTAGAGCAAGGCACAAGTGCAACCAGGCAAATTTTGTTGGGCATATCACCACATGGCAGACAATAGAACAAGGCCCACGTGAAGCTGGGCTTTCAGTGTTGGCACAGTCTTGTAGGTTAAATGATATCGTGCTTGCCATCATGCAGCTAACAATGAAGAGTGATCACAATGCATGCATTGGTCAACCATGCGCTTCAGTTGTAGTGCCTAACGAAGAATGTGGCTTCAAATGTTGAAGTTTTTGGTCTGAGTATCTGTAATAGTGCATGTTGAAGCACAGAACTTAAGAAAAACGTCAGGCACAAGAGTTTGAGCTTGAGCTTACATTGGCATTTCCCATTTCACGCAGCCTTGTGCTTTATTTTTCCCCTTACGCATATAATTGGCTGTGCTACATTTTGTTCTAGCGCTCAGCTTTGCAGACACACAAAAGACTGGGCTAGCTTTATGTATGACAGGGCCCAATATCAGAGTTGTGGCTAGTCAAGCTGTGCTTGCTATGGAGCAAGATTCTAAAAAATAGCATATTTGCATATGGGGCTCTTGGGACCGGTGCTAGGTTATTTCGAGTGATTCGATTTAATATTTTTAAATGATGTGTGAAACTTGGGCCACAGCTTTCATTTTTAAATTAGTTGATGCCCTTGTGCTGCCATTTAGTCATTAGTCTTTTATATCTCTAAAATTTTGCTTGTTGCACTTCTTTTTTTGCATGAGACAGCATGGATGGTGTGCGTTCAAAATATCAAACACTTTGTGCCCTCCTAACTTGTCTAGAGCCAGCTAGGTAGATTTACTGCTGTCTCCTGATGTTTTTAAGTTTTGCTGATTGGAATGTGACATAAAAGAGCGCACAACTATTCTCGGGTTTATTGCTGTGACATTTCAAATCATGTTAGCTAGTAGATAATTAATGTAGGCTTGAAAACAAGCAGGGGACAGCCAACATTCTAGCTCTCATTAAAAAAGAACTCTGGATCTGAGTGGGCCATGTAGCGTGAATAAAAGGCAGCTGGTGGTCAGTTATCGCAATGAATGTGATACCAAAAGTTAGGAAACATGCTTCAAGAAGACAGAGGTTTAGATGTAGAGACAAAATTGAAAAGCACACTTGCTCAGTACAGAATCACCGAGCACAGAATAGGGTCATTGGGAAAGCGTGCGTCTTGCAGGAGAGACAAAGTAGACTGGATATAGGGATGATAATGGATGTCTGCAAATATGGCAGCCTCACCACAGTGCTGTGAAAGCCACTAATGTAAAAGTATACTATATTACTTTGTTTCTACTCTGAATCTTCACATAGCTTGGAAACTTGATGATCATCGCATTGTGGCTGAAACAGCATGTGGTGGTGTGACGACGCAATGTTGTAGGTGTCATTAGTATATTGGTTGTGGTTTAAGAAATATGACAAATTCGGTTCAGCAGCTGCGCATGTGGATCACTCACAAACAGTATTAGTGTCCTTTTTCCTAGGTACAGAACATTAGCCCAGCATATATCCTTCACAGCATTGACTGACCTTGGCTGTTGTTGGCTTCAGCACAATTTTCAGCATGATGAGGAGGTTATGTTGGCGTTATAAAGCTTTCACGAATCTCCAGCAGCGCTAAAATATGAAAACATGTAAGAAAAAATTGGACAAGCCTGATTCGTTGGCCAGAATCCTTGAGTTTAAATAAATTTTTAACCTCTTCTAAAATGTGCCAACTATACTTACTGTGCGGTGCAACTGCATATGGTCACAAATTGTTGGGAAAGTCAAGGTTTCCTCAAACCTAGTGGTCTCCAAACAACTGGCACCAAGTGCACATAACACATACACAATAAAAAGATTGGTATAAAACCACCACTTGAAGCTGCACTGTGCCAAGCCCTGAATATTCATTCCTATCATATCTTCACAAAAACTGCCAGTGTTGTAAGACAGGTATTAGTAGTCTCATCCACATTGAACACGCTTAAATTCAATAACTTAAACATGAGAAGATAGTCTTTGGGATGCAAACAATGTGTAATCATGGTTATTGAGAATTTCATGTTATTTTGTATGAATACCGTTGCAGTGCAAACCACTCTGTAGCTTGCCTGTTATGCTCTGAAGGCACGAAGTGTTTTTGTGAAGATTGTAAGGAATAGCCCAAGTTCAGGGACTAAGTGAGTTGTTTGACATTTTACATTTAACAAGGCCTCAGATCAGCAGTCTGTCTGATTTAGTAGTTTTTTTAATACTTTAAGAATTTAATAATCCTGACTACTTTTTTTTTTATTGGACAGGCTACTTATTAGTCCAGTTGGGAATTAAGATATAAGGTCGGGAACGTATTACTAGGCTTGTTTACAGGCAATGTGTAATCTCATATGGTAACTAAATTACCTTCTGCACTTATCCATCAGTGTAGAGCATCATTCATGAGCATTTGTTTAGCTTCAGCTTTTGCAAAATGCAGAGCATACTGCTGCAAAATTAGCTGTAGTTCCGTGCACTTTGCAAGGTTCTCACTCCTGGAATTGGACCTATTGGAAAGGATATCTTTGGTTGCTATTATTAGTTTCAGTTTGTTGTTGTCTGGCCACTGTCCAGTTCACTACAGCATTTATGTTGTGTGTATGTGCTGTCCAGTGTGTCGGGTTCATTTGTGTTGTTCTTGCTTGAGTTATCTTTCCTTTTTATTGTCACCAGGTGTCAGTTGTGCTGTCATGTATGCTTTACCTTTAGTAATATGCAATTCTACTTCTGTTTTGTTTAATAAAAGAACATAACTAAGCTGAAAGAGCAAAATTACATTGGTTTCATCCATCAGATGTGGCTAAGCGAAGAAAAGATCGCAAACGGAAGAAGCACGGGGGAAGTGGCAAGAAAAAGGCATTCAAGAAGGGCTCCAGCCACGAGAGCAGTGGATCGAGCAGCAGCTCAGATGAGTCGAGCTCTTCAAGCGACTCTAGCAGTCGCTCATCCTCTTCAGACGGCAGCGACGACCCACGCTCACGCAAGCGACGGGCCTCTGAAGAGCCTAGTACGACCACAACCGACATGTCATCCTCCAAAAGAGCCAAGCACGGCCGCAAGAAGAAGGAGTCCAAGAGACACCGACATGGCAAGAAAGCCTCCGGCTCGAGTGATAGCGAGGACAGCTCCACTGGGGACAAACACCACAAGAAGAGGAAGAAGCACAAGTCCTCAAAGGAAAAGAAGCCGCTCAGGGGAAAAGTTCCACTCAAAGAGAAGACAAGCAAAGGCATCAGCAGCCTCGTGGATGAGCTGAAGGAATTGCTCCCCAAGACAGGTGGAGCAGGGTCTCTCTTTAATGATGGCAAAGCACAAAAGCCCCCAGGACTGCTTTTCAGTGACCCCATGAAAGACCTGCTGCCAAAGCCAGCTTCATCTTTCTTGGACGATGACGTGGAGGAAGCCGTTTCTAGAAAGGACCGGTCCTCCTCTCACCACCTAGCCAACCTTTTTGGGGAGACATCATCGAAGAACGGCTCTGCTATGTTTAGCGAATCACTGAGTGATTTTTCAAAGTCAAAGGACACCTCTGCGCTGTTTGAGGAGTCTTTGGATGACCTATCAGCGAGGCACGTGGCTGAGCCTCCTAACGACATGCCTGCATCCAAGCCGCTGTTTAAGGACACTTTCAAAGAGCTTGTCGCTAAGCCAAGTGGTGGAGCCACTTCCGGCGTGTCAATATTTAGTGGGGACCTTGACGATCTGCTACCCAAAGGGCACGACTCCTCTGATGAAGAGTTGAGGAAGCCACCATCACCTCCGAGGGCAAGCTTTAAAAAAGAACTGGGCAAACCACAGAAAGTAATAGATTTTGATTTCAACCTGGAAGGACTTGACGAAGAGGATGGCTTTGGTGGCACTGCTAAGAGTGTCCCCAAAGTGACTGCTGGCGGCAGTAGCCAGCTGATCCATTTTGACATCGACTTTGAGAACCTTGAAGCAAACAGCAGTGTACCTAACAGCTCCAAAGAGAAGTACTCACCATCATCTCCGACTTCGGTTATGAAGAAAGATTGCGGCTCAGACCCTGAGCCTGACATGATGAGTTGCCTGCTAAGGAATCCGTCTCCACCACCTCCTCGCAGAAACAGCAGCTCCAACTCAAGCCCGGACCTGTAGCTGTGCACGTGTTTCGTTTTTATGAAAAGGGAAAACCAGTGCTGTAGCTGTATAGACACGCATTTTATCACACTACAGCTTCGAAATCACTGTCGTATTAGTTATTGTCTCTCTTGTCATGTTTGTCAGGTGGATTACTGTAAACGCAACAAGTTCAATGCTGGCACCTTGTGCGTCAGTGTACATTTAAAAGTTTGATAAAGGGGTAAGGTGACACGGTCTGTTTATTTTTATTGTATCGCACAAAGCACTCTGTACACGGGTGGAACCAAAGATAAGCGGAACATAGTGCTAAGCTTTATTGTGACAAATTTGAATCCCTGTGTATTTAACGAGGCATTAAGTGTCAAAATGTGGGCTTCAACATGCATCAGTGCAGTTAATGCAGTGCCTTGTTCTGTTTAGTTCTGGTTCCATCTTGTGCATGTCATCTCAACAGTAGCACGGTGTGTTGTATGGCGCTTGTTATCAAATGAGCATTTACCGCTGCTGCATACACATGCGTAAGATGTCTACGGACACTTTTAGCTCGTGTACTAACCTGGGCAGATGTGTGTTCATGAAGAGTGAAGGACACATTTTAGGGTAGAGTGTTAATGACAGCAGCACTGTGAAGATTTCCATCGTATTTGCTCATCGTAAGTAACCACCAGCAACTTTTCTTTGTTTTGCTCTTAATGTTCGAGCTCTTGTTAAGGGAGATAAAATATACTGCAGAGAAGCATTGGTACAAATTTTGTGTGGGAATCTTCACTGTAGCTTGTGCCACTGTACTGCGAAGCCAGTTCCAATTTTAACTTGTGTCGTGCGAGTTTTCGCACTTCGATTTAGTTGTCTCACTGCCTTCCTCAGTGAAATACGCACATGCCTTGTACAGCAAAATACCACATTGGCATCATTTTACCCAATACACTGTCATTCTTTATTGTGGTGATGCATTTCATGATTAAGAGCACGTGTGCGTATTTCAGCATTCATGGACACTGTATGTTGCCTAAATAAAAAATGAATAGAGTTAACCTCTTGTCAGTACATGTTACTTCAATATTTTTCTCTTTGCACCCAACCAGTGTGTATGTATGCAGGCAATTTTTCCTCCACACTTTGTCTCAGTGAATATCAGTCCTGGTCTGTCATTTTTATTATTTTTTTCATCTATTTTACATGAAATTTGTCTTGCTATATCTCTTCTGAGTAGTGACTGCACAAGCTAATGCCCAATGGAAATAGGCCATGGTCCCTATGTGTCTAGTACTCTGTAGAAGCATGTGACAAAAAAAATATCCTTCTGCTGTTGTCATTCATGAATAAAGACACTGGGTGTTCTCCCAAAAGTAAATTAGTGTTGTCATCTCTTCGGTGTTTTAAATAAGTTGCTTACTATTGGCCACTGTCAAAATACGTTTGTATCAACTTTAAAAGTGACTTTCAGCCACCACTATAGAGCCTTCTATACCAATGCCTAACCATTGCTGCATGTATTGTAGCTGCATACCATGCAGTACGTGCTGCATCTGGAACACCTGACCATGTGAGCTCTACTTTTAGTTCAACGAACCACTACTGTCACTGTAGTGTGCCATTTGGCACTTTCTTTTATTCACAGCTGGCACTACTTTTCATTTAGTGCATGGTTTTTATCAGTTCCCTGCTTTTTACAGTTCTCTCTTCTTGAGTTCACTCGACTTGTGCACCGAACAGAGCAGAACAACACTGTGTTTTCTTCAGCAGGGTTTTTGCAATCACCTTGCTGACAAGCTTTCAGTCTGCGATACCTTTCCGGTGCCAGAATCTGCATAAGGTTATTGCTGTTAAAGTAGGTAGCACAAAGGCACAAGCAAGAAACAAGTACATGAGACGAGGTGGCTCTCGTCTTGTGTACTTATCCCTTGCTTGTGTCGTCATTCCTTTGCGCTACCTGCTGTGACATGAATTACCACAAACTAGCCCAGCTCGTATCGTAGGCCTTGCATTCTTTTTGGCATTGCAGTAAATAAGGTGTAAGAGGGCACATTTTCAATAGGTGGAACGTGGACCTGCACTCGAGATGACCATGGTTTTGGTATTGTGCTGTAACAGAAAAGCCTGCACTTTAATTGGGACTGCTCTCAACTCTCAATCAAATTTTCAACGTGTGCCAGCATCTGTAGACGACCTATTGTATAGAGCTACCGTGTTTTTTTTTTTTATTTATTGCGATAGCAATAGTATGTACAGTCTCGGCTAGTTTTTTTTTTTTTTTTTTTTTTTTTTTTTTTTTTTTTTTTTGCCGTTGGCGCCGTCGTTCACGTATATGTATGTGTATATACACGGGAATGGATGCGCTAGCCTCCTCTTTCTGCGGGGCGAACATTGCCTTTCCGGCCGCGATCTTCTGCGCGCGGGCTTTTCTCGTGAGCAAAGAGGGGGGAGGGGGGGGGGGGCTTATGGTTGCCGCTCTATCGCGGCAACGATCAGCGCGCGCCTTGTGCCCCCACAGCAAGCTGGAGCTTCTACTGGCTGTGCTCTCAACACGGAAAAAATGGTGCCAAGAGTATCCCTGGAGCGGCCGTGTTCTCTTATACAGCATTTTGTAAAGTTACGCGAGATGGGATCTGAATGAGTTGACTGCCAACTTCACTTCGTGTAACCTTGCAATTTGTCGCTATCACATTCATTGCTTCACCTTTTCAATGAAACTGATTTTGTGCAATCATCCCTGCCACAATCGGGTACTGCACTTGACAACATGCGCACGAGTAGTATACATGTACACCGAGAAAGCTTCTTGAGGCACAGCTAGGCATCCAGTGGCTAGGCACGTTTTGCAGGTTCTGTACCGTTTGTCATAAGTTATTCGCGTTCATCTGTACCTGTGATTGCGTTTCGTGCATAATTTGCGTGTGAGAAACGCGGGACACGCGTCGATATGCTTGCCATTCTTCTCGTGGCTTTCCAATTTGTTGCTATTGCGTGCATTTCTTCGTCTTTGCGGCAAAGCTGTGACTTTTTCTTTCTTTCTTTCTGTGCCACTATAATTCAGGCACTTCCTGGACCGCGGTACCGACTCCCTTTGAAGCCGGCGCAGAGAAGGAAATCGCGGTCGAGTCGCCTTCAAAACGATAAATTTATGCCAGCGTCACCCGGTGCAATTGCATATCGCAATTAAGTCCGATGGGGATCGAGTTTTCCAACAGTGCTTGGTTGCCTCCTACAGTTCGCGTAAAGGAGCTATACTCACGATTTAGAAATTTTATCCGGATCAGGGCCATCAGCGATCTATAGGACCTGATCATGTTAGGTCGTGATCGAAAGGGTACCGCGTGACACATGCGCGCGGGAAAATAAATTCCGTTTGTGAGGGATTGTGAACCATGCGTCAGAAATGCGAAGTTCGGCGGAACCGTCGTTGTAGTTCCACTGAACTTCGCATTTCGTACGCGGATGCTTTTCGAGACTGCATTCGCGTGTGCTAGGTACCATTCATATCGCGCGGAATTTAACTGTTCATATTGCGCGTCCCCGTGACCCCTTGTCGTCCTTGTGACATCGTTGCGCGCGCAGATCGCTCATCCGAGTGATTGGCATCGAACCGGAGAGCGCGATGGCTCTCGAGTGTTCGTTTGATCGATCAAAGTGCGCGTCCGCTTCAGCAATCTGTTCGTGCTGAACGACGTCGGAGTCTTCCGGTTTTCTTTTCTATATTTTTTTACTTTTTTTCTTACGATCTAGGAGCGTCGCCCAGCTGTAGCACGATTCCGCACTCCGTAGTTTCCACTCGAGTCGCCATCGAAATGGGCCATCGCGCCCGTGCGTTGCAGAGAAGCGGCGCACAGCGAGCGTTTAGCTTCAGCGCGCGCGAGTCCGCTGTTGCTGCGCGTCCCATCGATCGATGAGGTCGTTCCTTTCGCCGGCTCTCCGCCACCGCCGTGATGGCGCCGACTTGTCTCGCGCACTCGTACGACCGCTCGAATGAAGACGACGACGCGGAGCCAGCCTTCTTCTAGGGGCCCGCCGCTACCCGGGAAAGTGTCGGCGGCAAGAAAGTGGACAACGCCATGCCGTAGCCCGTGGCCGCCGTGCTACTGGACTTTCCCTCCGGTGAGTGTCCTGGTGCCGCTCGGCGTTACGCCCTGTCGTCGCAGCCCGCACTCGAGCATCAGGTGGCCTGCCGCCGTATGGCGTCGAATGCGCGACCGCCGCCGTGTCCCGATGACGCGCGGTGCGCGAATTGGTGCACGGTGGCGAAGCTGCATTTCGCCGCCTGAGTGCTTCGAGAGCGCGGCCCGCGACCGGACATGCTCGAGTGGTTTCACGTGCATCGATACGGGCATATGGAAGTACTCTGCCGTATTCCAGGATTTCATGCTTTAAGTTGATTTTGGGCTGAAGTGAAATGCCTCGCCAGGGGAATTTACGTACGATGTGCCAATAGCAGCGAAATTACAAAGGTGCCATAAAGTGCAATTGGAATCGGCCTAATATATTATTCACAGTGGAGAAAGATTACCACAAGTGACCTTTGAACATTGGAAATTTGGGCTATAGGAGGGACTTCTTTCAGTCAGTCACTCCTATTTTAACAGGTAGATAATAGCTGCTGCACTGTAAAGAAGGTACCCGATTTCACAAGTTTCCAGCTGTAGCATTTGTCACTTGTGCTAATTTTTTTTTTTCTGTCACAACTGTACATGTGCACCTGTTGTAGAGTTTGATAGGTATTTTAATGTACACCCAGGTTTATCCAACAACACTATAGCTTTTAACCAAGAACTTGGTGAGAGACTGTGATATTAAAGCACAAGCTTAGATGTCAGAGTTTCAAATACTATGAAATACCAATAAGTGCATACTGGTCTAGACCTGTGTGGCAAATATTCATACATATTTGTATTTTGCCTAATTTTTGTGCTGTAGCACTTGTTACTGCGGTGTTTTTGTGCGTTCAAGTTCTTACATGGGCTCTTCTTTTTTATTCTTTCCAGAGCACCTTCTTCACCCTAGTATATTAACCTTAATCAAAAACCCTCACTCTAAGCACATTAAAGTATAAAAGAAGGAAAGGACATCAACTAAAACCTTTAAATATTGACAGAGCTGATTGGCACTTAACAAGTTCACCAGGATGAGTGGAATGGCCGAGGACTTGGCGGGCACCGAAGAGGAACCCGACTATTCGGTCTTTGAAAACAAAACAGGGCTGGCCGAAGACATGAAGTTTCTGGCAAGCATGCCAGAACTTTGCGATGTAACTTTTCTCGTGGGAGACACGAGAGAGCCCGTCTGTGCCGTCAAAGCCGTGCTGGCCGCACGGAGCAGGTAACCACGCAACACTCTTCGACATATAAGCGGCAGTGGTTGAAGGCTTGTGTGATCGAAGCATTCTTACTGATGTTGCTTTATTTGACTGATTCTTCTGTTTGTTTTTGTCTTGGATTTGTTTTTTGTTTTTCTCTCTTTTGTGCCACTCATTGTGCACTGACTGCCCCAGGCCTCAGCAATGATTAGTCTGGCGTTATCTAAAAACAAAACCTTTGTTCAACCTCCTTTGCCGCCTAGTTCAGTACATCTAGGAGGGACTGGTCGGTATTTTTTGTTCGTTGGAAAACATAGCGGCCACTCGTCGCTCTCACGAGCAGCAGCTGCACAGGTTTTTCATTTTCCGTTCTTCTCCTAGGGTATTCCACAAAATGCTGTATGGTGGCTTTCAAGGAACTCCAAATCGTGATCGCGACGCCTCGTCGAAAAAAAGGGATCTAAACAAAGAGACGAAATTGAAATTGTTCTTGAAGAGAAGCAGTGAGCCTATGCTGAACATACAGTTTCCTCAGGTAAGTATGGCTTTGTCTTTATCACTAGAGCATGTTGCCATGCCTGTGGCTTAACCTCCCATCTCTTTGCCATTGTTTCAGAATGGACATTTCTAACACTGGTAAAAAAAAAATTGCGGCCTATATTGCCCATTGCTGCCATGGACTAATACAAGTGTCTTTTTCTTTCATTGCAATATCTGCATGCCTAAAAATGAGTACTAATTGTAATGCTATATGTCTGGTGCCAAACTTGTGTTTATCAAACAATAGGTGATCTGCCCTCTTTTCCATCTCTTGGCCAAGGCACAGATCATGCTTTTCTTTTTAATTTGTTTTGTTATAAATCCTGCGCTTGCTTAATTGATTTTCTGGCAAAGGTGGGTTATTTTCTTGTTGCTGAAAACATATGAACTAACGAGAGTCCATGCATATTCAAATTTGTATACATATGATATTTGCCTCTCTCTTTTTTTGTTTTTGACAAAAAGGCAAAAAGGGTACTGGCACAATTGGGCCCCCTTTTCATCATGTAGGGTTTAAGAATGTCGCAAATCATCTTGTCACTGTCTTTGTTGACAATAGAACAACCATCGAATTATGGCCAACAATGGCAGCTCTTACAATGCACAAGCCAGCCACCCCAGAAATTTTTCACATTGTTTGTGACATTTTAAACACACATTGATGCAGGAACCATTCTATGCTCTGCAACACTGTGTGTGCCACGTGAGTATGTTAAAACTATAGTGTCGCTCAGCACTGGTGAAGATGCTGGCCCTTTGCTACAATGCCATGAAACCAGTCTCGATTTTGCATTCTAATGTAATGCACATGCAATCTTGAAGCTAATTTTCTTAGAAGTAAGGTATGCATTAAAAGTTGGGTGAATATAGTAATCATGCAACATTACATGCTTTTTGTGCAGGTCACATTAAATATCTGACAAGGCAGGCCAGTAGAAGTTAACGCGTTTGGGACAGATGTTGCAGCCTTGGGGTAGGGTGTGTGCATCTAGACGAGCCGAGTTCAAATTATATGGCAACAGTCACTTTAAAAATGACTAAACATGCGTGCCTACAAAAATGTGCGGCCATTGCCTGGGGCCTTTTGTTGAAATCAAAAGAATGCAAGTCAACATCATTAGTGACTTTTAGCTAGCTGTAGGGCCACAATGATTTGTTTATGAAAGCCACAGAACTCCTTTAAAGTACCTATTTCTGCTGATTTCGCTGGACATGGGAAACAGCTGTGTAATCTAAATTAAGCTATGGTTTATAATGCATTTTGTTGGAAAGAGGAATCATTTAACCCACATGAGTGTGTGAAGAGTGAAATATGAATGGAGTACAGCAAAAACTGCTCACCATGTTGGAAAGTCATCTCAAAACGTGATTTGCTACCTTAAGAGGAATCTGCTCTTTTTAAAGCACACTAGTAGTCTCAAGAATTAGGGATCAGGGGAAAAATTGAGCAGGCATTTGTTGGAGGGGTAGAACAGCTGCGCCAGTTTGATACAATTCCCCATTTTTGTGCCAAACTGTGCCAAAGCTATGACATTTGCTGAAATTGCGCCAAAATGCCCAACCAGCCTCAAAATTTTCTCAGTTGCACTAACTCCAGAAATGGAGGCCATGTTGACCTCCTGTAGTTTGAGTCATCAATCAATCCAGCAATCTAGGCACGCAGACACTAACCCACAGTGTAACCTAACCACGGTATAAGAATACTCGCTAGACGTGATCGACCAGATAAAGGAAGAACATTGTGCACCCATCAGTCTGCTGACCGCAGTGGATCTCTGTCAATGGGATGGTGCAATTTCAAGGCAACAATGCGTTGCCAGAGCCACCAAGGTTTTGCAGGAAATATACATTTTTTTGTCGGCAAACGCGCCTATGGTGTGCTAGAAACTGAAGCTGAAAACGTATGCTGCTTGTAGTGCGCGAACAAACTCGACGTGCCGCAAATACCGGCGTGGCTGGCGACTATGTTGGCTGCCATAGCAACAGAACATGGGATAGATATCCAGTGCCGTCGCTTGGCTGCTGCTGAGCCTAGGGGCGCGTACCATCATTGCTTTAATTAGTCAAACGCACCTTGCAAGCTAGCCGATAAGTTGTACCCTGAACCTAACCCCATCGTGACAAAAAAAGGGGGGCGGGGCGGGGGGGAAGAGAGGCTGAACGATTAGAAATTTTCTTGACCTTTTTCTAGCCCGTGCAGAACGCCGCTTAAGCTATTTTTGCCGCAATATGCTGGTGCTCGACAGAAGAGTTTTTGATTTGGAAGGGGCTGTTAACACTAGTTGTGAGACACAGCACATTTTGTTCAATATCTCATGTGTGTATGCGCAGCATAATTGTGAGTACTAATATGATGTCTGACATCTAAAAACGTTACCAGCAATCATTTAGAGCTGTGTATGAGATTTTTTCACCACCCCTACTCCTCAGTTTTACGAATCCCCCAATCTCAAGGTTGCCAGTTTGGCAAATCATCTGAATCCTCGGAGTCCGTCAAAGTATTTGGCAAGTGTGGCAGATGCTAATGTGGGCTTTATCATCGTTTGCCAAATGTGGCGGTTCAATATACTATTTTTATTGAAATAGCAGTGCTCATATTTACTCTGCACCATTTATGTGGTGTTGAATGGTTTGTGCATTTTTTTTTCCAAATGTAAGCTTTCTTTCTCATTCTGCTCCAAATTTGGTCTTTTGTAATTAAAAAAATGAATGTTATGTACCCCATAACCTGCTTCAAATTTGGATTTTAGTGCTTTGAAGGCGATATTTTCCTGCTCCCAAAATTTCTCCGAATTCTGGTTTGGCTGTTGCACCCCTGTTCATGGGTGATTCCAAAAATGAATATACATGCACGTCAGCCAGTATACTTGTCTTATGCTCTTTTGGCATTACACATTCATTACAGGGTTTTCGTGCAGGTTCTGCACTCATGATCAGTTTTAAATTCTAGCTTTGCTCTTTCACTACACAAGTTACAGCACTTATCTTTGATCTTGTTTACCATAGAATTTAGACATGCTTACGAGAGAAGGCAAATGTCCATGCTATACATGTCTACTGGTGCAGTGTGTGTGCTGACCATTGGAGTTTTTGCAGCCACAGACACACCAGACTCTGATCATAGAGGAGTTTGAGCCTGATGTATTCAGGCAACTCATTGAGTACATACACACTGGCTGTGTCACCTTGCAAGCCAGAACACTCCTGGGTAAGTGATCTACAATGACTCTTGTGATTTTCTCTGTAGTACTGTTGAAAACGAGATTACAAAACACTTAAAGGAGATTTTTTTTTTTCGTTGGGTGAATTATGTATTATTCATAAGGGAAAAAATGCTACATAACCTTGATAGGGACTGTGCTAGGATGTATAATTTTACTCGGGTGCGAGTTGTGCGCTTACAGGACGTCTCGGCTCGGAATTTTCCGGTTAGCTATGAGTACCATTGGCTGTCAAAGGAATAAATACTGTTTTCGGCAGAAAAAACTTTTACACTGAGTTGGATGATCTCTAAACACATGGAAACTTTGGAAGTCGTTATCTTACTTGGAACATGTGCTTCGCATGTCAACATCTGAACACAGCCATATTGGCATATGTTGTGTGCTTCTTCATGGGCATCAGTGCTATTATTTGTTCTCGCAGTAATGGCAGAAATGACTGTCGAGATGCCTTTGCAATGGTTGTATGCAGACAAGATCTGCATGCTCATTTTTTGCTGCATTATGAGTTCACTGTGCTTCTAGATAAAGTTTATTTACAATTGCTGTCAGTTAAAGCAGACACCCATTTGAACCGTTTCTACTGTAGTAGTGCCAAGGCTGTGGCATAAATGCCTTAATGCAGTGTGTCTGTGCACACTTCTGTACGTCACAATAAAAGACACTGTCAAGCAGTTTGTGCATTTATAAACTCTTTACCTGCCAACTCTCCCAATTTCCCCGGGATACTGTTGATTTCTGAATTGCCTTCCCAATTGTATGATCGGGTCTATAAATGTTCTGATAAACTGCTTCAAGCCAATTTTGAAATGGTAATTACAGCAAAACAAAACCGCCGATAAAAACAACCCAAACTGATTTATATGATGCACTAAAAAAGACAAAACGTCCACGCAGTGCAAAAGGTTGGCTGCCCACTTCTGTGTCCTGTCATCCACTGGGCTTTGCTCATGCTAGCTGTGGTTAAATACTGGCATGACTGCCCAGGCAGACGTGACCACCCTCCTTGATCCGAGCTCGTGCTTGCTATTTGTTTACTGCGCTGCAGCAATAAAGAAAAATTAAAATGAGCCATCTGTGCCATCTCATGCTGAGGACGAAGCACGCTTTGTTGTTGAGATAAGCGTGTTTGTTTAATGACGCCTGCTAAGCCTAACACACCAAAAATTTGTTAATGGTTCTTCAAAATAATGTAATATGCTCACAAATACGTTGTTGTTGATGCATCAGTGCGTTAATCTAAAGAAAGAAAATACACATGTCAGTTTGTAACTTCTGACCTGACGCCGATGAATATATGTGGAAGGACCAGTCAACCTTCTTATTGACTAAGGGGTCCTGCAGCCTCCACAGTGCTGAAGCAACTTCTGAGATGGAGTATACACTGGAGCACCACATGTGATAGTGTACTTGTATTTGTAGAGTAGAGCAGCATGTAGGGACACTTGCTGGAGGCATTGGTGCAGGGGTAACAAGTAATTGCTTATGCAAGATAATTTGAAATATATTGTACTCATACTGATCTTTGAGTGCATCAACTGTGTTAGCGCTCGTGCTCATTGAACGGTGGGCATTATGCTTTTGTTTACCAGCGCGGTTTCTTTTTTCATGTTATATGCAGTAATTGGTTTTCATTAATTTTGTGTCAACAGTTGTCAAAGGCTAAAAGAAGCACGTGAACCTTCAGATAAACTAAACTATCTGGCCACATTAATACCTTATTTGGTGTTTAGCAGGTAACAACTGCAGTGGCTAGAGTAACTTCTGACATCATCTGAGTTCACAATAAAAAAATTCTGCATATCAAAATATAGTGAGGAATCCAGGTGGTGCTACTAGGTGTACAATTGACTTTGTACATTGCAGTCACAATGTATCTGATTGTCACATTGGAAACCCAGCCAAACCCACTACAGGATAACAGGCTGGTTGACAAGTTAGTATGCTTTTGCAACCATGCTTGATAAAAAGCTTTTATGTCACAGTCCACAGGCATTTGTCATCAACATGCAGTGCCTCGTATACTTGACGCTGAAGGCATGCAAGCAGTATGCACTTGGATGTACTATTGGCTTGATATGCCGCAGTTCTGAATCAATATGTTAAAAAACTACTCGACGGGGAAGTGCGTTTGAATGCCACTTTACCGAAAAACATGCAGATTGTGACATGTGTCCAATTTACTTTTGCCGAGTTGCCTCTGCAGTGTCAATTGTGTGGGTGAAACTGAGTGGTTTCTGCATGGTCGAAAGTTTTTGAAACTACCTTGTGTAGTGTCCATTAATGCTCCTTCTCCGTCATGGAAGGTTTGATGAATGCTGCCGATTACTATGGACTGGAGGAATTGAGGAAGGGCTGCATGGGATTTGTCCAATGCTGCATTAGCGTTGACACAGTGTGCGCACTGCTGGCGTCAGCAGAACGTTACATCCAGTACAAGTGTACAAAGTCGCTTGTCCAGAAGGTATGTCACTTGGTCAAGCTTTGTATGTGCATGACCTGGCCAAAGCGTTGCCCTTGCAAAAAAAAACAAAAAAAAACGAAGTGCTTGCAAGTTAAACAGTACTTTCGAGCAAAATAATCTATCACTGTCTATGTTACTACATGTAAACTTGATACTGGCTTGCATTAGTACATAAGAGCTAAAATTGTCAACACTTCTTAAAAGTTCACTCTTACATCAAAATGAGACCGTTAACCTCAATGTATCTCGTTTGTCAGGCTGTTTATTATTTCTTATAAAGTTCATGACAAAGTATATTGCGATACCTAGAAAAAACACTAAATTGATGCGGTGTGAATTGTAATAGCCATCAGTACTTATAAACATGAAGCAATGTGTGTGGATTCCTGTACAATGTTTGAAGTGAATGTGCAAATCCCTGAGGTCATGTTGTAGGGTGCATCATATCCCATAACCAGGACGTGCATCTGCTTAGATGTTGCTTGAAGGCCGTTCTTATGAGCACCAATCTCATAAAATAATTTCTTCAGTAGTATGTTCTGCTCATTTGTAAGCAACATAAGTCAAAACTTTAGGGCTTCATTTTTATTAAGTAAAAGACACATTTGATGCCCCGCACGAAAGGTTGTGCACAGCTTGCATCTTCTGAAGTGCCTGCGTTTGCACGGTTCAACATTTCAGCTAATTTCTTAGCACTACCTGTACTATATTCACCGTTGCTTTCATATTCAATAAGTTATTTTTCATTGTTATTTAGTGTAAAGATCCTAAAAGCATTTTCTTCGTTCCAGGTGCTTGAATTTGTCGACAACCATGGCAATGAGGTGTTGAGCCTTGGCTCATTTGCCCTGCTGCCAGAGCATGTTGTACGACTCATATTGTCGCGTGAAGAACTTACAGCTGATGAGCTCACAAAATTTCAGGTGTGTTAACTCTGTTTTCCTTCATTTCCTCCCATTCTCATTTGCCTCTTTTGTCATTTTTGACAAGCATCTGAGTTCTGTTAAAGGGACACTAAAGGTAAATAACGATTTACGTCAGAGTGAAAGCTTAATGTATGACAACGTCTAGAACAGTGATATTATCAACAGCAGTGCCGTACTTACCGAGAAATTAAGTTAAATGTATCACACTACGTGCACCATGAGGGGGACATTTTTGAAATGATGACAAGAAAGTGTTTGACTACAATTAATTGCTTGTAATTGAACTAGCTGCAATAAAAAAAAACCTTCCATGCATTAAGAGACTTAATAAAATGCAGCTTGTCCATTTCTGTTTGATTTATAAGAACCTCCTGGTATTACTATGGGGAACGGCACGAGTGGTTCAGATGTTCCATTTTTGCTGGTTAGGCAGGACAGGTCGTGCCGCCTAGCGGGTTCTAGTTGAACCAAGCAAGCAGAAAGTTGTTCAGTGGCCGTTGTTGCTGCTGTGGCTCCCACTATTTTCGCTTTGCTGCGTTAAGTGTCCGTGGCTGCACTGTAAAGGCAGGCAACATTGGGCACAACAACAGTGACACGAGAAAGACTTCTTTCAGGTGGGTGGTTTGAAGTGCGCTAATGCTATGTGAACTGCTAAAATAAGATTTTATTTCAACATGAGCAGTTTCTTGGCACAGAAGTAGCACTACAAGGTTTATGCATAGCCATTTCAAAAATCATTGTTGGTTTAATATTTGCCTTTAGTGTCCCTTTAAGGTAATCTGTTTCAATGGTTGTTGCTATTTTTATTTGGTAACTAGAGAAAGTTTGCTGTAATTCTGAGGAGTGCTCACACCATAACAAATTGTCAGAACTAAGAAATGAGACAAGCAGTTGTCTGTATATATATATATATATATATATATATAGGCAGCTATATCAAAAATATTTTGCATGCTCTAGTTTCTGTTTAATTTCTTGAATTGCAAGAAAAAGGAAACAAGTTTACTGTACGCTTATGTGTCAATGTATGCTGGTGTGTGCCTGCTTTTTGCACGAATTGCTGGCTGCTGTTTTAACCTTGACAAAGAATGAACCTTCCACAAGCTTCAGCTGTTGACACATCATTTCTCATGCAAACTTCCATCCTAATAATCAAAAGATAAAGCGGCAGAGTCCAATTTTCGTATTTTATTTTTGGGTGTGAGCTGAAATAATCAAACGGAACAGGCTGCTGTACACTGGAGCAAGCGGTACTGCGACACCATGCCGGAGGCGGAGCTCCGGGAGGTGATGGGCAACTTTCTCGAGTGTATCGAGTTCTACAAGATACCGGCGGGCGTGATCATGCGGGAGGTGCACCCACTGGGCGTGGTGCCGGACCACGTCATAATGAATGCACTCGCCTTCCAGGCAGATCCCTCCAGCGTCGACATGAACAAGATCAGCTCGCCCAACCGCTTCCGTCGATCCACCATATTCAGGTGTGCACTTCTTTGCATATCTTTCGGCATGCTGCATCGGGTGCGCTGGAATCGCGGGATGCTACTGTCAGTAGGAGGCACGGAAGAAGTTGAGATTTCAGGCTGGAGGCCCCTTTCTTAGATGTGCTTGTTAGTCAGATATGATAAATGTGGTGCACCACTTTGTGCAAAGATAACCATGGACAAGGTGCTTTGTAGCAATACCAAAAGATGTTTGTAGACTCCAAGCACAAGTGCAGTGAGCTCACGGCTACTACGTTTAGCTATCAAAACTGTAAGTGGCAATCATATCACCCAATATCACAGTCATTGCTCAGGTTGTACCGTAAGCTATACAACCTTTTGAGTAGTATGATTTATTTCACAGAGTGGAAGCACGCTGCAATTACTTTAGGTCAACAACATTCCTGCCTGTCTGGTTGCATACCTGTGCCATGCAAAGTAGCCCGGCAGAGCAGATGATAGACGCAGGTGTTGCTTTTTATGTTTAAAAATATTCAGGGTTAAAAAAGTTACTCTTAGTATGAGCAAAATTAGAAAACTCTAGACAGTACTCAAAATAATATTCATAATACTAATTATAGTATACCTTAAAAACCGGAATATAAGTCAAACTGGAATATAGGTCGACTCCCCTAACTTTGAATCTCCGAAAAATTAATTTTTAAAATCACAAAGTATTGCGACACACCCTTACCTTGATAAATACATGATGTAGCCAGCTGCACTGTGCTGACTTATATTTTTATTTTGACCCTAATCTTATGTAGTTGAACGCCAAAAGGCCACAAAGTGTCGTGACTCAGACTCGTCCGAACATAAGTCCAATGACATCTGTTTCTCATAAGTTACGTCTCAGAGTGCATCGTCCTCCATTCCGTTCAATACATTGCTGATGCAGAATTGCATGCAGACTTGCACACCATCTCTTCCGGGAGAGATTTCGAAGCTGACGACACCCAGCCACAAACGCTCGTGAGCGGTGGATGTCATAGGCGGCCAGCGGGGGTCTTGGGATTGTCCCCCAGCATCCACTCATTTTTAGCTCGTGCACATGATCTATGAAGGGTTTATTCAGCACTACGTCCAGTGGCTGGAGGTGATGTTAGTCCCCCAGTGATCACAACAAGGTCCGTCTTGCTATTGGACAGAGCTCGCTTTACGTCGGCCGTGAGGTGGCCTTGAAATGAGTCGAGGACCAACATGCTTGGTCACTGAAAAAATGCACCGGGTCGCCGATTCCACACCAGCCAGATCCACTCAAGCATTATGGACTTGCTCATGAACTCTTTTTCGTTCGCTCACGATAGCATCCCGGGGAAAGTCTTCTTTTGGTAGCTCTTTTCTCCTGAAAATGATATAAGGGGGCAGCTTCTTTCCATCGGCTCTGCACATGAGCATCAGTGTAAATTGCAAATGTTCGTTGCCCGTTGTCAAGGGCTTCACTTGTTTGGATCCTTGAGCACTCACAGTCCGGTTCAAAGGCATATCGAACCAGATCGGAGTTTTGTTAGCGTTGCCCTTTTGTCCCATTGTCGACGAAGCTGAATGACGAAGTTCTGATACTCGAGCAGCTTATCAAAATTTCTTGGCAGTTTTTGGCACACAAAAGTATGCCACCTCAGCACAAAGCCCTTCCGCTTCATAAATCGATGCACCCACAATGGCTTGTCCTTGAATTGTGCCCCCATGAGCCCAGAGTTGTGCGCTATCTCGATAGCTTTCATGCGGATGCACTCCGCTGTCACAGGTAGCAACCTTGCATGCAGCTCCCAGACGAATTCGGCAAGTAGCGTTTCTAGTTCGGGGTGCGCTGCAGTCCATCCACGAAACGAAGTTTTTTTTTTTTTTTTAGTTGCAGCAGGATGTGATGCACTGCTTTTGGCTACTCCAGTATCGGGCGCTTTTCTCCAATGCACTGAATTCCTGTTGTGCTGCCATGTTGTCGTACGCTTCGACATACTCGTTAACATTTTATTAAAGCGTATCGTAAACTGCTACCGACTACTACTCATTTCTGAAGGAAATAACGAAAGGAAAAAAGTAGACTGATAAAGATAACCGAAGCAAAATGGTGTTGCTAGTACACTGTATTGTAGGCCTTGCCTAGCCTTGCCCAAATGTGCTGCTGCTGATGCTCACGATGGCAATGGAGGCTCTTGACTTCAGCTGCCCACTGTTGCGAGACTTCCTCTTTTTTTTTTCAGGCCAATGACCCGTATATAAAACAAGGGTCGCCTTTTCATTGTGTTCTTTTCTTTTCTTTCAATTCGACTTATATTCCGGTTTTTATGGGCACTTATTGTATCATCCGCTAGGTGCAACTCATGAAGCAGGCACAAACAATACAGTCTTGTACATAGGCGGAGAGTATGTGGGGGGAGCAAATGTGCTCGGACCTCCTTTGGGCTGCCAAAGGGGACAGAGCACCCTCTGACGCAGGCCCGGGATATTTTTTTAGAGCTTTGCTTAGGCTCTCATCCACGGCCAATGGACTGTCGGCCATTCTGTCTCGCAGCCATTCCACAGGGGACTGTTTTTGCCCATTCCTTTTCCTTTAATGCTTTTTATATTTAGATCATTGGGCTGGGACCAGTCTGCTGCCGTGGTCGCATTGAGAATGGAGTCCAAGGAGGATGACAAAAATTTGTAACTTTTGTGCAAAATAAGTACAGGCTGTACACGTACCCATTAAGAGAATCAATGCTTTTGTATGTAACAGATATTTGTTTATTGCCTTAATCCTTTCGATAAGTTATTGTATATGTATATTTATATATACAAGTCGGTCACTCCGTCCCCTCTCGGAACATGAAAGCTCTCAGTCTATGGTCTTGTACACTTTGGCAAATGCATACTCTAGACTGCACAACTTACAAGGTGACAGCAGATATCATGTTGCATGAAGAAACCAAAGTTGATCACCTGGAAAGTAGCTTTCTGAGTTACATGTGTTGTTACACTTTATAACCATTTCATCACATGCAATCTTTTTGCAATGTCACCGCAATATACATTTGAAGACTATATCCCTTTCCCTACTTCACACCAGCGTTGTACTGCTTTGCAAGCATACTGAAGTTTGCTTGGAACACCTTCTTGCACTACAGTGCGCATGTGACATGACTAGGAAAGCACTCATTGCTTTAAGGAACAACCCGAATGAGATAATGGATCTTGAATATACGTGAGAATTTTTGGGCCGGAAGGACCCATTAACTCGCGAACTCGTCTGGCAGTCTAACTATGGAGCGTCATATACAAGATAACGATATAAGAATGAATTCGTACATGTAGCAATGGCCTAAGGAACTAACTTTCTACGGCACTATCATACATGCTCACACTGTTGTGATATGAGGTTTGCTCTTTTGCAGTTAAGCGGCATTTTTTATTTATCCACGCAGAATAATGTCTGTATATATGTTACGTGGGAAAACACTTCATTATTAATTTGGAAAACACTAAAGGCCTTGTCGTATTCTAAGCTGGAGGCACAATGGCCTGTCAGCATGCCATAAGCTGTTTCACCTTAATTTCCCATAACTGCTTCACTATATCCTATTCAGGCGGGAATTATGATGGGCTTCGCAAATGATTCAAATCTATGCAACATGATGACAAGGCATTCAATGTTACACTTCAAGAAGGAAGAGGGGGTAATGGGTTGTGTGGTGCAAGTTGCAGTTATTAACTTTGACTAGCAATGACTAAAAGGACTAATGCTTACTCAGAGAAAAATTACGTTTTTGATGTAGCTCCTGGAACGCAGCATATTTAATGACCCATTGAACATTGTAGTGCTTTCACTAAGTGATCGGCTGAAGACGTACGCTGCACATCGAGGTTGAGTGGAGACACAATACAATATAGGATGTTCAGTTTGTCCTGTGCACAATGTATATTTCTCTCTTGGCTACTAGTAGTTAGAAGAACCAGCCAATAAAGGTTGTGTCCACCTGTGTGGACACTGTGCTTGAAGGAAATATTTGTGTTGTAGAAGGTTTAAGAACATTCACTAGTTGAGTCATTGGTTACCTTTTAGTTTAGCATACTTCTTCTGCTCTAAGCGAATTAAGGGGGCACACACTATTGAAATCCATTGTGCTTGTGAAAGCCAGTATTTAAACATAAAGATTTTGGCAATGGTTCTTTAGTTTCTGTATCATTCAGTGCTTGGAGAAGCTGTACTCATAGTAAGAATGATCTATATGGTAATCAAGATTATTTGGCTTTTCTGTCCACGTGTCGGTTTGAAACTGCCCATCAAAATAATGAACAGGTTGTGCACAAGACGCAAAGCTCATTTTGCCACGTTGTGAGCATGCCTCAATAGTGTATCAAGCAGCAAAGCAGGGGTTTGCACATTATCTCCACAGAAGATATAAGCAGCACTCCACAGGTCAGTCGCATGGGCTAACTACAGTGATTTCTAGAAAAAAGAAAGTGCACCTATTATGCAAGTAAATATGGTAACACATATCTACTGACAGCAAATGTAGCCTAAGTGAAGTTTTACAAAGTTGGCCTTTAATATGTGCTCCAAAATGTGTAGCTGGAACTAACAATGCTAGAAACCAGTTATCAGGCTACTACTCAAAACACTTCCATGCGATAATGCTCATGTTCATCCCTGTTTTTGTCTTACTTTATGAACACTGTACAGGCATCAGACAGTAATTGAACTTGTTTTCGACAGTTTAATCTATGCCTTCTACTGACACCTGCCCATGTCATTGGCAACTCATGGAAAGTGCAGTGGCCTAGAGCACTTTTTATTTATAAGGATTAATGTTCATCACATCACTTATGATGCATTACAAGGACCAGCAATACAGACTGGTCAGCATCACACCCAGCAACTTCAGCACGCCACAAACCTCTCTTGTCATCTCCTAAGTGAAGAATTTCTGGTTAAGGTTACCTGAAATGTGTGTCAAAGCTTAGCCACTACAGATGTGCTTTCATTTTTCTGTTCAAGTCAAAATCTGCCAGCATCCGAACATTCTAAGTTCAGGTGTGGCCCCCTTTGAGCGTAATAGTCTCACCATATGATCCCAGTGATCATATCAGTGGCCATTACTAAAAGGCAGAGATGATGCTGCCAGTATTGTGTTCCTGCATTGTTGTAAATGAACGTTAGGCCCGAACAATTGCTTGGGCAAGGAGAGGGAAATAAGTTAGCAGATGAAAATAGGGAAAATAGGGAATAACAGCTGGGCCAATAATTTAAGTTTGGAAATAAAAATAGAAACAGGATATTGCTTGTTCACACATTTTTTAGCCCTACACGAATTCTTTTAGCTGTTCTAACCGTAACACTAGAATTGCACGATGTGGTTTCACGCCAGCTAGCAGCAGCAAATATGCACACACTCGTCGAGTACAAACGCACCCATATCTCAGTCTCTCAACATTGTCAGTGTTGGTGTCATCTGCAATTTCTTGCGCACCATGCACGCCTGCTGTCCTTGTACGGCCACGTGCATGTCACCTGCACCGAGGGCGCTTCTTGAATGGAGAAAATGGGGACGGGGTTGCGGAGCGCAGTGTGTCGCCCCTCAGGTCGATGTCGATAGCTGACCCGTCTCCCGGGAAGCCGCCCGAAAGCGACAACCAGATCAACGCAGAGGTGGACAAGGCCCAGACTAAGACCAGGGGCCGCAGCAAGAGCACCTTCTCCCGGCCCTACCGGCGCAGCAAGACCTTGGCCGAGAGCTAAGGGCCGTCTCCCAGCAACTGAGTCTGTCTCTTGTCCTTCTTCCTTGCTTGGCTCGCCACTGTGTGCACTCATGCATGGCGCTGTTGTGGTCATGCGAGGTTGCTCAGAATTCCTTTTCTTAAGCAGTGTCTTGCGACATGTTTTTAGCAGGTACCCTGCCCTCTTTAGTGTTAACTGCACTAGCCATGTTTCATGTCTTTTTGTTTTTTCCTAATGTTAGTGGGCCCACTACTGCATGCACTCTCCCTTCTGTCTCCCAGTAGCACAACTGCTCTGCTGAATGTGTCCTACTCGAATTCTAAGAATTTTCGCTGGGAAACCCTCATTTACTTTCAAGGTTTCATTGAACAGCCTAAAGGCTTTGTGTGCCATTAACCAATCTTGCATGAGGTAAAGCGTAGCAAAGAATGCCTGTTCCATTTTTTTTTGCTGTCTTTTAGCTTAGAGAGAATGCAGTATACATTATGACAGTATGTAAGAATATTACATATTAACAACGAAAGGTTTTCATTGTCTGAGGTCCTTAAACTTGTATTGCACAGTGTTACGATACAGAGGCATGACCCATCTGCAGCGGTTCACCCTTGCCAAATTTGAATCGAGCAACGAGTATGACAGAAGAGAACAAGAAACTAGGAAATGTAGTGCAGATAAACGGGAGACCACAACATCCGTTCAGTTGTCACATGGGTGCCTCACAACTGTTTGTTTAGCATGGCATCACTTTTGCATGCACCGTGTGCTTTTCCGTTTGCGTCAGTGAGCAAGAAACTGCATGAGAAAAGCGCAGTGGCCCATGCCTGTGTTTTCGCACACGTGGTGGGGAAATGCGAGCCAAGGTGGAAGGACCTGAAATACTGCTTTATTCAGAGCTGTCTCATCATTCCTTGTGGCGGGGAACTGGTTCCCTATGTCCCACAATAGCTGGCACGAAAGGCTCCTGCCTCTTTTTGAGAAGCGTATAATCGTAGCATCTGGCAAAAATTGCACTTGTGATGTCGTGGGACACCTGTATTGTCTGTCATGTCAGTAACAAAGAAGGAAGTGTCTGTTCTCATGGTTGATATAGTACTGTATAATTTTTTTCGTCTTGCCCGTATGCGATCTCTTAAGATTTTATTATAAAGACTGTAAATCAGTGCTTTATATATATATATATATATCAAATGCACAGTGTATGGCCATTGCCAAACACAATACAGTGCCTCATTATTTTGGGGCAGAAGAACACATTCTGTGGAAGGACAGGTCATGTTTAATGGCATTAGAAGCACATTAGGGGAGTAGTACTCATCTTTCAGAAAGCCGAATCTTTAAACCCTTTCTTAGAAGACAGACGATGGCATCTCCAACAGATCATTTTCCATTAGAATTCTATTAAAAGGGCACTAAAGGCAAAGTGAAGTCAATATTGACTGTTGAAATAGTCATCCAGAAACCTCGTAGTGCTAGTTTTCTGCCAAGGAAGTGCTTCTTTTGAAATTAATCACATTTTAATGGTCCGCATCATGTTAGTGCACTTCAAATCACCCGCGCCTGAAAGCGGTCTTTTAGACGTCACTGTTACCTTGCCAAATGTTGCTCGCTTTTACTACGCGGCTGCCGACACCAGTAGCAGCAGAGTGAAAGTAGCGGGAACCACAGTAGCAACAACAGCCATTGAACAATTTTCTGCAATCTCGGAGGCCATCATTCTGGTTGCTTGGTTAATTTTGCTCGTTATATGACACCACCTATCCAGGCTAACCAGCCGAAAACATTAACTTTTGAACATCTCATGCCATTTCGGGGATTAACGTCAGGCGGTTCTTTTTTTCTGTAAATCAAACAAACGGACAAGCAGCATAATATATCTCTTAATGCATGGAAATTTTTTTTATTGCAGTTAGTTTGATTAGTAGTGATCAACTGTTGGCAGAAACTCTCACATCATCAAGATCATTTCGCAAATGTCCCACTCGTGGTGCATATCGTGGGAGCTTAACTTCTTGGTAAGTAAGGCACTGCTGTTGATAATATTGCCATTTTAGACATTGTCATACATTAAGCTTTCACTGTGACGTAAATTGTCCTTTCCCTTCAGTGTCCCTTTTAAGTGAAAGATAGTTGGCAACCACAGCACCAGTGTGTGTGATATTCACATATATAAATTTTCATTCACGGTCGGTTGCATTTTCCTTGCTCATGAGTATGAAGGGCCTTGGATAATTTTCTAACATAGCCAGCTGCCAGTTTTAACATATTGGTTGTTACAATTTTCTTTCTTCAGCTTTTTCTTGGGTGCTTCAAACCATGTATCTACTGACTATTCGTGTATTCACTGGCTCTGAGATAATCATTAAACTCAAAAGGGCGCAGTAGGTTGTGTTGGCAGTATGCCACATTCATTAGCAGTCAAGGGTATTCTTATAATAGCTTGTTTTATAGTTTAGCTGTTGCTGCTGTAGCCTAGATTATTACTCTGCTGTATGCATCGCGAGGTCAAAAGCAGTTCAAGTTGCATAGCTATGCTAGCTAGTTTGGTGTTTGTTAAAATGTAGTCTTATAGACAGTGCAACTATGTGTCTGCCATCTTTGTCAAATTCAAGTCTTACAGTGTCCAGTTTTAATACTGTGTTTTTTGATAGCTGGCAACTGTCCCAAACATTGAAAAACTATAGGAAATAGATAATAATTTCAACATTAAATGTTTAATGCCCAGGTGTGACTGTGGAATTGCATCTGCTGAACAATTACTTCCAGGCATTACATAAGTGCAACATTGACATTTCATGTTGCAAAATATGTGTTAAGTATCATCCCTTCACATCAGATTGCGCCTTATTGTTAGATTTCTTGCTCAGTCTGGGAGTTTGTTACCTGTGGTAGTAGGAGACTGGCCAATTGAGTAAGCGATCACTTGGTTATCAACCTCGCTGTACTACTTGGTGTACTGCTAAGTGAGCTGTTTACTTTGTTGTTACTAGCACTGTTATCACTTGTAGAACTATTCAGGGGCAGCTAGCTATATGACCAACAAGGAGAAACAAGTATTTACCAGGCAATGAGTCGACTATGGCCAACAAATTCATGACACGTAGCACAGGAACAGCAGGTCTTCATGCTATCCTGTGTCTCTGTGATTGAAACATGTGGAGTTGATAATACTTTAGTGGGTTTTTTTTTTCCTCACACAGCAGCACCCTTTTTCTAGGTTGCTTCAACTGAATATTAAAGCACTCAATGCCAAACAGAATGCTTTCGTTACCAAGGTATAGAAGCACCAAAGCCTAACGAGAGTTGTAAAAACACATGGTTCATTAAGCACTTCATAGCTCTCATCACTTGATTTCATCTTCTGTCAGGTAATGTGTGCGTTGGTCTGCGAACCTTTGTAACAAGTAGTACGTCATTTGCATGTGTCAACCTTGCACATTAGTTTATAAAACACCCACTCAAGAGTTGTCACTTACCGTTATTGAATTTCATTCCTCATTAATTCTTTGCAAGTATATTTCTGAAGTAACTCGAGCAGATCATGAATTGCAGGCGCAGCTATTGCGATAAGTTGAAATGTTGCAGACATGCATGTTAGCATAGCAACCATTCATTAAAAAAACCAAATTATCTTTAACTGATCTTCCCATAAAGTAGTTGGAGATTATCGATGCAGAGTTCGTTGCCGGGAAAGCTATATTGAGCTCTTATCATTTGGTTCTACCAGCTGGGCATTTTCCACAGTGGCGAGACATTGTTCTGCAGTGGTTTCCGTGTGGTCTAGGACATGTTTATTCTGTAATGTGTCAATGTACTACATGCATGTGCGTTTGCCTGTATAAGAGGACTATGGCATCATTGGCATGTTGTTGTCACATTATCATTGTTGTTCATCACCTAGTGCGTTGATTGTGAAAGCATCGAGCTTTTTTTGGTGTTTCGGCACATAGACCCACCCATTCCCAAAGACGAAGATTGCTCAAAGTTCACCTTCCACTGTGTGTTACCATTTGAAGAAAGTGTGAAAAACCAGTGTTGACGCCTGTGCTCTCTCCCCCAAAAATGAGATGCTTCGAACATTCTAGCGTTAACCATCGCTTGTATCTTAGGTGTACACCCACAGTGCATACTGCACCGAGTATTGAAGCCACATTCAAGACAAACCATATAGTTTTGAAAAAAAAAAGAATGCTATTTTTAAATTTCTTATGCCTCACATACTTCTATCCAGCTTTGTCATTGAGAGAAAATATGCATATAATATATACACATATAATATGTAATGGTTGTAATTTCAATGCCTTAATCGGAAGCTCTTCAATATGCTGTGATACAGTAATGCCCTGCAGTGTTTGGTGTGTCTGCAGATGCGTTATCACCGACTAGATCTGCCGAAAGAGATCATGCTTAAAAGTGGACAGAAACATAGTTGAGCCGTCTTCCTGCCAGGATCTAGTGTCCAGCCCTCATTCAGATCAGTTGTAATTCCTGTAGAGTACATGCGTGTCATCGTTCATGAACCCTATTGTGATTGTATTCATTTAAGTAGCTAGCTCTGTTAGTTTGGCGAGCTGCTGAAGCAGTTCACGCAGACAAGGACTCAAAAGTGATAAACAGTAGTAGCGATAGAAAAGTCCCCTTAGATGTCTTTGCACTGCAGCCTAGCAATCGCTCTTTCTGATTGCTCAGTGGAAATACAGTTTTTATCAGTTTGTAAAAATTGTTATGCTGCTGCCCTTGCTTGCTACTTAGTTGCCAGTAGTACTTAAGTGCCCTAGTCTTTTTTGTTATATATTTGGCAGCACTGAGCACTGTTTGTGCAATATAGTATAGCTAACAATAGCTCCACCCTTGTAAAAATTGCTGCAATGTGTCCACAGTGCAGATGTGTATATGAGGTACTGTTGTAAGAGCATCATTTTAAACCATTTTGGAATGCTTATTCTGTTACCTTAGTCAGCTGGTTTGCCCACCTTCCACAGCCATCTTGCAATCTAAGTAATGTTTTGCAATGACTGTAGGACTGGAAAAGGGGTAAGGCCAGATGTCAGCTGATGCTGTTGCAATTTCTGGGGTTCGATCATGTCAAAAAGTGTTTATAGCTTGTTGCAGAAGAGCATGTTTTGCTATTTATTCTTGAAGTTATCGTTGTGGAATTGCCGTGCTGACTGTACGCTCAGTGGAGCACTTTGTTGTGGCGCCCGCCCTGTTCGTCCAAGTAATGTTGTCAGTTAAGGTAATATGAGATGTAGTTGTAAACAGCACAGCAGAATATAAATGTTATCCGTAAGTATGGAAAGCATAAGCTCTATGCACACAGAAGTTGGGGCAGTGCGGTGTCTTTATCGTTCTGCCTTTTGGCGGCATCCTTCACCAGTTTTCTCTAGTGTGAACACACGTTTGTAGTAACCCCATTATCACTCACTGTCTGCCCCTCAGGATTGTATTTTTGTAAACGTGGAGGTAAGAATAAAATGTGTCTATTAAAGTCTGCCTGTGGCATTCTGAACTTTTTCACATTTTAGCTCCTTGTACACGTGAAGACGCGGGCAAGCCCTTGTGAATAGAGTATTTTTTTTTTGCTTCTAGCAAAATAACAATTTTCAAACAATATTTATTGACCATTGTGGTCCTGACCTGGCAGAAGACATGAGGATTTCTTTCAGCAGACCTGGAAGGTTTTTAAAAACTGACTTCGTGAAGACGGTAATGTCAACTCGGGAACTTAAAAAAAAACGACAAGGAAGGACCACAAGTTAGGCATGAGCACCCACACCACCATGCACCGGGTCTAGTGTACAGATCATTGCTCAGGAAAAGGTAGGTGCTCTGTGGCTCTAGAAGTCGGAGCCAGTACCTCCGGCAATGAGGGCTACCACTTTACCAAAGGGCGCCCCCATATAATATCAAAGCAAGAAAGTCCAAATTGTGATTACATCGTGGACTCTTACGGTAAATTACAGCGTCTTTTATGCATAGTTTTCATGTGACGTCACGTCGTCGTCTGCTAGCGGTGTCTGCCATTCAACTGTGGCAGGCGTACGCTATATGTTCGATCGCCGTCCTTCTGCAGCCTGTCTACGTGGTAGGCGTTCATTTTACGATTTGCGAGTTGTTGCGGGTTCAAAAGATGGTGCCTGGCAGGTGGAAAGAATTCTGCCACCAATCATATTTTGCCGAGCTGTGTGGTCCGAGGACGGATGCGTTCACGCTGAGAAGCAATGATCAACATGAGCGATAGAGTTAACCACACTAGCTCGTTATGCACTGGTACGAATAGGCGTGCGCAGAAAAAAGGCATCAGGGGGGGGGGGCAGTTGTTCATCGCATTGCCCCCCCCCACTCCTCCCTATTATTTCAACACGTGGCATACTTTGCCCCCCCCCCCCCCCTCACATGCGCACATCTGTGCTAGTACCGACATGACGACAATTACGTGGACCTGCTACCAATACGATGCATGCCGCATGTCAACATTTTAATGGAGACCACCTATGGACGATTGTATCCGGCGGTTTCTACTGTATAGATGAAGTGGGAGCATAATTTTCTACAAAGAGTCGTAAATGATTGCAGTAGTGCTTCGACTATATCTACGTAAGGACTGCGTCATCACGTCAACGTTAGGAGTGATAGTGTCATCTTGGCTCGAGGCCTAACACGACAAGCAGTAGGATGCGTAACATTGATAAATTCTTCAGAGGCAGAACTTCTTAATGCCATTCGAATTCCAGAGGCATAAAGATTTCTTAATAGAAGGGTTGCCACCTTTTGGGGAACAAAACGGCCCTTCAACTGGGGAGGGGGGAGATAAAGGGATAAGTATACTGGAGATTAAATTATATTGACAAAGAACTGTGCAATTTAAAATTACATATGCTTATTCTACAGGGCTAAGATCGTGCAACGGAACCCCTTAGAGATAGTGCAGCAGTCTAGCATGCAATGATAAAATTCAGTTCGAAGGCAGATGACGGACTATTCTCATTCGTATGCTTACTTAAAACGCGTAATGAAGGAATTCTTAAAAAAAAAGGTCCGGGGTGGGTCTCACTGGCACCAGCTGGCGGTAATTCACTCCACCATCAGAGCAGGAATGGCCACCCTGGTTCAGTACTTGGCCACTACCTCCCTTATGAACGTACCAATTAACCCTTAGCCCTCAGTCCCCAGCGGCTGCGAAGCGACTGTCCAAGGCGGCGGTCGGACCTGCGACGCAGCGGAGGGTTCTAAGAGTCGCTGGGTCCGGTCAGGCCTCCATTGGAATCTGATCTGAACTGTGCTACGTTCAACGCTAGAACGCTATCTGGTGAGGTTATTCTATAGCTGTTGGAGGAATAAGAGGGTGGTAAATAGGATATGTAATGTGGCTCAGCGAAATTAGGAAGACACGCGAGGCTTATACAGTGCTGAAGAACGGACACGTCCTATGCTACTGTAGATTAATTGACAGAAAAATATTAAAGTGGGGTTTCTTATCCACAAGAATATCGCTGGTAACATAGATACTCTCACTGATAGCACCAGTGAGAAGGTGGCAAGTATCATAATTTGTTTAACAAAAGGTACAAAATGGTGGTGGTACATGCCTACGCGCGTATATCGAGCCATGATCCTACATCGAGCACCTACATCGAGTGAGTCATTGATAAAGACAGTACAGACACAGTTCTGATGGGTAACTTTAATGCCGAAGTAGGCAAAAAACAGGTCGGAGATCATTTAGTGGGGGAATGTGTGCATCGGCTTTAGAAATGCAAGAGGAGAGTTGTTAGTATATTTCGCAGAACGCAATAATTTACGTATCTTGAATACTTCCTTCAGAAAACTGGCTAACCGTAGGTGGACGTGGCGAAGTCCTAACGGCGAAACTAAATATAGACTTCATTCTGTGTGCACACCAAGACTCAATGAATATCTGACGAGAATCATTACGGAGTGCGCAGTCGAAGTTGTTGGTGAAGTAGTAAGACGGGACACTGGCAAGCTGTACCAGGAGACGAAGAACCTTAAGAAACGCTATAGCATGGAAACCTCAAACACAATAGACAAAATAGAGCTAGTGGAGCTCTCGAAGTTAATAGGCGTAAGGCAGCCCGACATCGGAAGGTATAACAAGGAGAGAATGAGCAAGCTGTAAAATGCGGCATAAGTCGACAAGCTGCGAAGGCAAACTTGTACATAGGCAAAAATCGGATGTATGCATTAGAGGGACTCTAAAGCCAACTTTATGTCGACGTTGATTGTTGAAGTAGTGGTCCAAAAACCTCGTAGTGTTACTTTTGTGCCAATGAAGGGCTTATTTTCAAATAAAATCGCGTTTTAGTGGCCCGCATTGGGTTAACACACTTCAAATCACCGGCCTCTAGAAGCGGACCGACTCGCGTCACTGTTGCCGTGCACAACGTTGTCCGGCTTTACTGTGTGGTCGCCGACACTATATACTAGACACAACGAAAGCAGTGGGAGCCACAGCAGCAACAGGTAAGAGGCCGCCCGTTTTGGCAATAGGGCAGCGATTCAGTGTACTGCATCGTTTCTAGCAGATGGATCTTTCCTGTGTACAAGTACGCCGGCGCAATTCATAAAACCGTCTCATTGAACACGTCATATATCCAGACACTTGCCCCAATGCCACGTACCCCACATGTTTTTTTCATGTCGCCCACCCCTGATGTAAGGTTTCATACGGAGCCTTTGAGGTTATAGTAAGTAAATAAATAAAAAAGCAACGCTCAAACACGTGAGCGAGGCGAGGTGCTTGAGCATTTGCTGCCTTAACCAGATGGGTGGATGCAGTTGTCAGTTCACATAGGCGTGCGCAGGGTTCCTTATCGGGGTTAGGGGGTGATGTGGTTAATCTCAGCACCCCTCTCTATATTATGTCGCTGCTTGCATAGGCCAGATATTGTGTCCCATGCTTGGCCTGGAGCTCACACGCAGCCACCATGCTCAGCTTCCTGGTTCCAGCGTGGGATCTGAAGATCCGCCTCTTTGCAGGGCCCCAGTAAAGTCATTTTTCCAACTCAGGGTCATCCCAATAAACGTGACGCTTTTTTCCACCTATTCGTGTATCTATCCACTTCTACAATTTAAAGGGCCACTCACCAGGCCCCATACCAAATTTTAGTTAGACAGTGGAAGTTTTTGGATGTCTGATGAGGAACATTTTGCCCCAAAATTTTTCGAATCGGTTCATCACGAGCGGAGAAAACAGATTTTTTTTTTTTTTTTTTTTTTTGAAGCGGCGCGAAACGAGGAGGCGAGCTCGAAACCCTTGCCGCTCCCCCGAGCACGCGAGCGGCATTGCTTTGTTTACCAGCGTTGTTTTGTGGTCTTGTGCCTGTTTGTGCGGGATGGTTCGGAAACGCTGGCTTAAGGCCGTTTCACATGACACGAAAAGTAGCGATTTTCAGGCTGCGAATTCGCTCGCAGCGACAAAAAAGGGCAGTTGTTCCTGCCGCAGCGGTCCGCGGTGAGCTTCCAACATGTTGGAAATTTTCGCTCTAATCGCAGCGGTGGGAGCGATTTTTGGTCGAGACCCGTCGAGATAGGGCTGGTCCGGCCAAGCCGTCGAAATAGAGCCGACGTGTTTGTTTTGGTAATGGCCGATGCTGTGCATTTTAAAATGAATTTAGACGGGAAAGTGTTCTTAAATGACGAAACGTGTGGGCCCTTCGTTACCGTTCACGGAAACTTCATAATATCATAATGCACATATTATATTACATTCGTGTCTGACACTGAGAGCGGTGGCAAGAACTCGCCGCTCCAGTCGCAGAGCGAAAATCGCGGTCGATGTGAAGCAAAACCACCATTAGTGACAATTGCGAACAGAGCGAACGGTACGATTTTTTTCGCTGTAATCGCAGCATGTGAAACAGCCTTTAGGCGAGGTATAGGTGAGCACAATGAGTGCGCGAACGCGTAGGAGCGTTCCACGGTGGTCGTCAGCTCGATGCGCTGACCGCGGCGACACGAACGCATGCGAAATGCCGACACATTAGCCCCGCATCTCATTGCAATTCACGGGAGAAATATGAAAAAAAAAACGCTCACATTCTCTTATTGCATCTCAATATTAATCTAGTTGCCCCGCCGCGGTGGTCTAGTGGCTAAGGTACTCGGCTGCTGACCTGCAGGTCGCGGATACGATTCCCGGCTGCGGCGGCTGCATTTCCGATGGAGGCGGAAATGTTGTAGGCCTGTGTGCTCAGATTTGGGTGCACGTTAAAGAACCCCAGGTGGTCGAAATTTCCGGAGCCCTCCACTACGGCGTCTCTCATAATCATATGATGGTTTTGGGATGTTAAACCCCACAAATCAATCAATATTAATCTAGTTTTACTAATCTCTTCAAGCAACAAATTACATAAACTGCGCATGCCGCGGTAAATAATTTTCGCCTTGTCACGTGCCACTGTTTGCAACGTCAGAGCAGAGTCGTCTACGCAGAGGGCCAACGTCACTGCATTGCCGTGTAAGTAGAGCCA